TCATGCCTTTAATTTCTAACATTCTTGCAGTAAAATCTCCAACAGTTGTGGCCTGGGCTGCCTTCCACACAGCATGCTTATAAGCCAATCCTCTGAACCCAGCATTAAGAATATTATTGTGCAAATGCCTAACACAGAATCTATGTGCTGCCCCAGGGAAGACAATGTCAAAGGCCTGTATAAGACCCTTCTGTTTATCAGATATGAATGTCTGCATTTCTGGCCTTGAGATATCCAAATCCTTCTTCAAAATGGTTAGAAACCACTCCCAACTCTCTCTACATTCCACTCCAACCACAGCAAATGCAATAGGGAATAAATTGTTGTTAGGGTCTACTGCAACTGCAGTTAACAAAATCCCAGCATGTGGCCCCTTCAAATGACACCCATCAACACCTATCAGTGGTCCTACAACCAGCTTTATAACCCTCTTTCAAAGCACTAAAACAAACATAAAACTTACTAAATCTCTCATCACCACTCTCTTTTTCAGTTGCCAATATCACTGTTGAACCAGGATTAGTAGATCTGAGCTCCTCTGCATAATCCCATAACTGTGAGTATTGAACATCAGGATGTCCCTGAAGAACATTCATGGCCCTTCTCTTAGCTCTATAAGCCTGATCTTTGGAGATAATCACATTTAACTCATGAATTACATCAAGCCTTCAACCCTTCACACTTCTCTTTGGGTCAGTTTGAAAATTGCTAATGTACCTCTCACTAAGCCACTTAGACTTAATGTTCTTCACATTGAAGCTCCCATGACATGTATGAGTGGGATTATACTCTCTAATCTGGTAACTACATTGTCCCTTCATTTGTAAAAGATTACACCTCCACTTACAGCCTTCATCATCACATCTAACATAGACCCTAATTTTATCATTTTTAATTGTCTTTAGGGTCCTTTTTGTTTTGATTGCCTCTGATTGAATGGCCTTTCTAAACTCCTGTTTAGTTGCAAAAACCATTCCCAACTCAAACACAGGATCAAATATGAGTTCAGGATTGAAAACAGGAGTCTCTACCTCTGCCTCATTTTCACTATCAACTAAGTCATCCAACTCATCAGGATTAGCAACCACATCTTCATTATCACTATCACTGGACTCTGTCTCACTCTCTCCATTAGCACCTGCATCTACATGCTCAAAGAACAATGCATCATCATCTTCACTACTAGCATCCTTCATGTCATAATCGCTATCAAAGAATTCATCATAGTAGTCAGTAGAATACCCACTATCCTCATTACCCTCTGCATCACTCAAATGAACACCTTTTCCTTTATCAACCCCAGCAAGATTACCCTCACCAGCAAGATTATCTTGAGTTGCATCATACTGACTCTTAGTCCCCTCACCAGCAAGACTACCATCCCCAGCAATATTGTGACTACTAATCCCATTACCAACCCCAGCAAGATTATCTTCTTGAGTAACACACTCTACACCAACAACATTATCCCCACTCTCACTCTCAGACCCACTCCCAGTATCACTGTCACTCTCATCTAGATCCACCCAGCTACCTTCAATAGACAAACTAGAAGGTTCAAAAGTGTTGAAAACTTCAACAAATACAGTTAACTCCCTGTCAGATAAATAGCACTTTGCCCAAATTCTAATGTCATCATCCTCTCCTATCCTTATCAGATTCAACCCAACCTGTATGAAATATCTCCTATCACCAACCACACCAAATTTTGTGGAAAACATTTTCAGTTTCTTTTCAGACATTTCATTAGCAGGTACAAAATCAAACACCATTTTATGGCCACCTTCATACACTCCAAAGTCTGACTTTTGGAACTTACCACCACACCACAAGATGCAAGTCATTAGGTCCGTACTTCGATCTATGCATATAGAAAGAAAAAAAAAATTAGACAATAAATAATTCAGCTAATATAATAACAAAAACAGGTGGGGGGACCATTTT